TGAGACCAGCCTGGGCAACTTGGTGAGACCTTGTCTCTACAATAAATCAAAAAATAAGCCGGACATGGTAGCACATGCCTGTAGTTCCAGCTATTTGAAAAGCTGAGGCAGAAGGATTGCCTGAGCCCAGCAGGTTGAGGCTGCGGAGGTCATCACAGCACTCCAGCCTGGGCAACAGAGTGAGACTTTGACTCAAAAAAAAAAAAAGAAAAAAGTTAGAAGAGTGAAATATCAATGTATGCTCCCAATGTAAAAACTGTCACTAAGGTGAATGACAAGAGCCAAAAATGAATGGGACGTGTTGTTGGCATCTATAATATAGGTTATTGGATTCAGATAGGATCCAAGATTCATAACAGATTCTTTATTTAGGAAGCTGAGTTCTATAAGTGCAGTAAGTGGCTTTTTTTTTTTTTTTGAGTTGGAATCTCACTGTCACCTAGACTGGAATGCAGTGGGATGCTCCCGGCCACCGCAGCCTCTACCTGCTGGGCTCCAGCAATCCTTCCTCCTCAGCCTTCCAAGTAGCTGGAACTACAGGTGCATGCTACCATGCCCGGCTAATTTTTTGATTTATTGTAGAGATGAGGTCTCGCCAAGTTGCCCAGGCGAGTCTCGAACCTACGGGCTCAGGAAATCCACTTACCTCAGCCTCCCAAACACGGGATTATAGGCTGAGCCACCAAGTCCAGCTTAAATGACTTTACATGTACTCTAATTTTGTCCTTGATGCAACCTTATAATGTGTAGATGTTATTTTTATTTTAAAGAGATGGAAAGTCTCTGTTACTTATAATAGTTAACTAATGTGCCTAAGGTCATATAACTACGATGTGGCAGAGCCAATTTATATATCCTGGACCAACATTTCAGCAGTTTAAATGATGATTAAAGTAAAAATGACAGTCATAGCTGAGGAATATGAACGAAATTTGAGACACATTTTAAGCAAAGTGAAAATTACAGACACATCTAAATTTTATTGCTTTTATAACTAATTTGAATGAAGGAGAAGAGAATGGAATTATTATTCACTTAGACTGAGAAATCTTAATGAAGTTTGAAGAGTCATGGTTTAAATGTTTGAGGTTTACATTTATTGTGATGTATAGTTGTTGGAAAAGCCATATCCTTTTTTTCCAGCACATGCTCTGGGATTCCCTCATGTATCTGTCAACAGGCTTCCAAACTCCCAAGCACTGCAGACTGTTCACAGAATGTTGCATGGATTTTCTAATAGTGGCTTGAGATTTTGTGCTACAGTTTCTGTCATGATAATGAATTATTCCCTGGGCTGGAAATCCCTTGAGTATTATGTAGGCACTCAGAAATGTTTCTACAAATAAAAAGCAGAATTTGTACTTCAGAAGGAAAACCCTGTGTGTGTTTCTAAAGTCTTGTGCATCTTGAGTGGCTACAATCTAGTTGCTACTAATAACTATCGTCTTACTGTGCATATACATGAAAGTTAAACACATAACTTGGGACTTTAAAGAAATATATAATTAATATGTATTTATAAGTGAAATAATGTCTTGGATTTACTTTAAAATCCCCTGTCATTGTGGTGATTGGGGAAAGAGAAATTAAAGACAACTGATAAAAATGTTGATTTTTATTGAAACTTATTGTAGGGTACGTGGGTGTTCATTATATTATAATTTTCACTCACTTCTTTTGTGTGTGAGTGAAAATTTCTACACTAAGATATTTTAAGAGAGAAATGCAAAGCTTGAAGTGTGGATATCATAGCATCAAATGAAACAAAGAGGATCAGTTGGCCACCATATGAAAAGGAAGTGGTAATATTCTAGTTAAAGCCTTTATTATTTACTTTTCTAGAAAGAAAGAAAGGAAAGAAGGAAGTATAGAGGAAGAACAATATCTTTTCTCTACCCTTTCCTAGGTTCATGACTGAGGTTCCTATAGCAAAACATTGATTAACAAGGGAAAAGTATACTGATTTATTTAACTTAAATTTTATGTGACATGGGAGCCTTCATTAAGAAATGAAGACATGGCCGGCCTTAGTGGCTCAGCCTGTAATACCTGCACTTTGGGAGGCCGAGGTGAGTGGGTTGCCTGAGCCCACGGGTTTGAGACCAGCCCGGGCAATTTGGCGAGACCTCGTCTCTACAATAAATAAAAAATTAGCTGGGCGTGGTAGCACGTGCTTGTAGTTCTGGCTACTTGGAAGGCTGAGGCAGAAGGATTGCCAGATCCCAGCAGGTTGACCCTGGGGCGGCTGTTAGTGTGCATTCTAGCCTGGGTGATGGAGTGAGACTCCAACTCAAAAAAAAGAAATGAAGACTTGAAGAATTGGGTACACCTATGTTTTTTTTTAATGCTAACTGTGAAGAAGAAAATGGATAGTTGTGGAGGTATGGTTGGACAAATGGCAAAGAACAGGGAACTTAGCAAGGCCTGTCTGTCCATATTATTCCTTGTGACCCTGTGTCTTCAGAGGTAAGGATGATCCTTTCCTCCAGGTTTAGGGTAGGCACTGCCTGAATGAGGATCTTTCCACTTGCTTCATGGGACAGTCAGAAAGTCCTTCCTGGGTCTTATGACCTGCTTCATGGGAGAGGGGCAGGGGAAGTTGAGAGTGGCATTCTTGCTTCCACTGTTTTCTCAAATGTTAAGGTGACATATTTTGGAGTAACATGTGCTGAACCCCATCAGGAAGAAGGGATTTTAAAAAATGAAAGTTTCCTATATTCATTTACTAGTTTCCTCTTCACGTTGCTGTTGTTAAGTTACTTAGTATACTTTTTTGTTGCTGTTAAAGAGATGAATAAAACTTCTTTCTTGTTTTCAGAGCACTTTTAGTGTAGTTATTTAATGGAACGTTTGTAATATCTGAGAATTACCATAGAGCTCATACAGAACTAATTATTCAGGTGATCAAAACAATAAATTATACTTCACCATTATTTCTGCTGAGGAGCAGACTGTGACTGCTAGAAAGGCCAGAGCTCAGGTGAGGAGTACTGTCATGGCTCATGGATTGGATTTGAAGACATCTGCAGTCTAGTTCAAGTTTTGTTCTCTACACTTGAATGATAGTGGGCAAGTGTCTTCGGGTCTTCAGTCTCCTTTGGGTCTTCAGTCTCTTCCTTTTAGAAATCTAAAGGATTGGCAGAGAATTCTTTTACCTAGTAAAAAATGTATGCTTTTAAGACCTGCCTTATATAAAACCATGGAGATGACTGACTTCAGAGTTGAGGATGGAAGATGCGAGGCTGTTTGTCTTCTATTTCCCCTGATCCCATCACCGTGGAGGGGATGTGATTTATAATTTCACTTGAAGTACTTTTTCTGTTGTTGTTTCTATTTCTCAAGCATTTGTATCTCAGTTTTACATTTAATTCTGGGATTAACATATATCTAGCTAAAGTAATTTTAATCTTGAGTAACATGATTAGAGGAGGCTAGTCTTTTTATCTATATGCTCATCCAACAATGTTCCTGACCTCCTGAAATTGTTCTTTTTGTTTTGGATGACTGGTGTGCCTTAGTATTTTGAGACTTGAGGACTTAAGTGCCTACACAGAGGCCAAGTTGATAATGTAATTTAGTGAATTGGGCTAAATGTCATAATTTTGGTTTTCAGAACAGTTATGTTTAATTTTCGGTTCTGTAGCTGATATTTGGCCTTAATATTGGGGCAGTAATAGAGAGTGATAGGGGCTTTGACTAGCTGGAAAGTTTATGACCCATCTAAGGGGCTGTCTCCTACCAAGTTCTGTTGTCATCTGGGGACATGGACTTTGTGTTGCCAGATTTTGTAAATGTTCTGAAGAAATATGGTTGTGGGTTGCCATTTTCTTGTCTTGTTTTATTCTTTGTGGGCAAATTACTTTAGACCCTGTCCTTAACAAATGCCAGAATGGTAAATACTTAGATATTCAGTTAGTGTTTGTTTAATTTTTCTGAATCCATTGTAGGTGTCATGCTGGTGATGTGTCTGTTCATATGATTTATGCTCATATGATTTGTGACAACTTAGAAAACCTGATACTCTGGTAGGAAAGGGCAGAGAGATTTTTTGACATTGACTAGAAAGATTTCTGTCTCTGTGTACCCTTAGGTTGACTATGTGAAATCAGTATATTACACAGTATCTCTGTTCTGTGGGAACAGTTGGGTTCCTTAAATTTGGCAGTAAATCTGTAAAATCTTAAATATTCATAGTGTTTTTTAAATTAAAGACCATTTTTTCTTCCTTTCCTTCTCCTTGCATTATTCTTGCACCCTCTTTCTCTTCTTTCTTCTTCCTTTCTTTCTTTTTTTTTTTTTTTTGAGTTGGAGTCTCACTCTGTCACCCAGACTGGAGTGCAGTGGCCGCTCCTGGCCACCACTGCCTCGACCTGCTGGGCTCCAGCGATCCTTCCGCCTCAGCCTTCCGAGTAGCCGGAATTATAGGCACGCGCTACCACGCCCGGTTGATTTTTTGATTTATTGTAGAGATGACGTCTCGCCTGCCCAGACGGGTCTCGAATCCACGGGCTCAGGCCATCCACTCACCTCAGCCTAGGCGCGAAATTACAGGCTGAGCCACTGAGCCCGGCTTTTCCTTTCTTTCTTTTACACAGCATGAATTTGTGGCCTATCTATATGATGTGTGGCATATTCCAGGCATTGTGTACATATAGAATCTTGACAAGATGTGCGTTCAAATTTCAAGAAATTGACAATTTAGTCAAGACCAACCAATAAAAGATATTGTGAACTCATGGTAATTGATGTGTGAAGAAATATATTTATAATACTTACATATTTGGGTTTGGGGTCATATGTAAATTATGACACTGTGAAATAAATAGCAAATTCATTAAAGCTAGGAGTCTTGTCTTACTTATTGTGATTTGAAGCTGGTGGAACTCTTAGTTAGTAAAGAACATTTATTACATGGTGCTTCTAAAGAGTGTCATGTAGTTCTGAAAGTTATTTCCATTCGACCACAGGTCCTTTGCACTGACCTTCTCATTCTTGTTTAGGATGGAATCTTTAAGATGAGCCTTTCTCCAGATGGGATGCTTCTTGCAGCCATTCACTTCTCAGGGAAACTGAGCATCTGGGCCATTCCATCTCTGGAGCAACAAGGGGAATGGAATCAAAATGAGCAGGTGTGTCTCTGGTTGTTATTATTATTATTATTATTATTATTGGATTGATACTCTCAAGGGGTGAGTATTGAGAATACTAATTTAATGCTTCTGATATTTTACTTAGCACATAGCTATTATTTATTCTCATCATTGTGAAGCTGTTCTTTTCTTTAGTTAAATTATAGTATCAGTAAATTTGGGCAAATTAAGAATAGACTTGTTCTGTGAACTGATTAGAATTTGTAGTGCAGTATACTCTATATGCCGAGTTGTAATTTGTACATTGAACTCTTCATTTTTTTCCCTTTTTGACATTCCAAAGTACAGAATGGCGATGTTAACATTTCAGCAAAAGTCAATATGATCAAGGATTTGGAGAGTTATATCCTAAAAGAGTTGTAATTCTTCACAAATCTTGCAACACTAGTAATTTTAGCCTACTTAAAATTTGAAGGGAGGCACCTTCTTGTCACTCAAATGTGGGTAACTAAGATACAGAGAAAGATGGAATTCTTTCATTTTTTTAGTGACCTGAAATTCATGGATTTTAAGGATTGGGTGATTTTGTTGTTTAGTATCAGGTAGAATCAAAATGTGTTACAATTGAAATCCACAAGAGGAAAGTAAAATCTGCTCATATAAAGCCATGTGTGGTGAAAGAGTGGAGGTTTAAAGAGATTCCTCAACTGAGAACAGCTTATGTTGTAAATCTTTTGCTCTCTGATGATCAGTTTGCATTTTACCACTCTAAGGATTAATATTCTATCTCTTACCCCTGTCATCCCATTTTCCTATAGGAACGTCCAGCTTTGGCAGATAGCTTGTAATTCTCAAATTAGAGCCTATTTCCTGAATGATCTGAATGTATCGATTCATAATTAATATAATTATTAATAAGCAGTTGTTTTCAGAGGAAAAGAGGAATTGGCTGTATATTTTCTTAATTCACAGATTTAAATTTGTTTTGGCTATTCTTATTTTTTTGTCTTATGCACAGCTTTAGGAAGGTCTCTTTCTCCCTAGTTTCCATTTACCTTCAATTTATTATGGTGTCTACACGTCTGTTACTCATTCTCACTTATTGGATCTAGATTTGTTCTAAGAGGAAGAGATGCTCTCCTCAACCCACAACCTCAATAGCTAAGTACAAGGGACGGTCTTTCCCTTTGCTCTGAAGTTACAGCCAAGTTGACTTGTTTCTTTTCTCTGCAAGTGAAGTGATGAATGCTCTGAAGTGTTCAATGTGTTTAGCTGGCCACAGAGGCAGCAGAGCTTCCACTAGGCTGTTAAAGAACTGGCTGAGGATGGGAGTATCTGCTAATTAAGATGACATATACTTCATATTAATTACACAGCTAACCTTGAGCAGCATGAGTTTGAACTGCGTGTCCACTTGTATGCAGATTTTTTTGTTTTTCAACCAAACATGGATCAAAGATAGTGTTTGTGGAACGCAAAACCTGCAGTTAGGGAGGGTGACTTTTCCTCTAGTGGGGCTCCGTGGGGCCTACTGTAGGGCTTGGGTGCATGAAGATTTAGTTTATGTGGGCACCCTGGAACCAATTCCCTGTGCATACTGAGGGTTGATTGTATTTTCTAATGCAAAATACTTGAAGTCTGTGTTTTGCATCCATTTTCAAAATAAGGTTATTCATATAACTGATCCAAAATTGATCATGGTTATCAATTGGTTATCATGGTTATCAATGTGTGGTGATAAAGTATTCAGCTTCTTTCATTTGGGAGGATTCTGATGTGCTCCTATATTTGGGAAATTTTACATTAAGGCAAACCTTTTTTAAGTGGCCAAAACTTCAAATAATATAGGCATTTTTCCCCCCTGGTTTTCTGCTTTCTTAAATTATTTTTATTCACCTAATAGTATTGATAACTTCTGAAGCACTCTTAGTCTCTCATCTTGTGGATATCCTAGAATGCTGTATAGTGTGCTTTTCTTGTTTACTGAAATTCTAGAGACCCTTTTTGTCCTGCAAGGATAAAATGCATCTTTTTGTGGTCCTTATTGGCATATGCTCAGCTCTTTGACTGGGTAGGCATTTTTTTTTTTTTTTTTTTACCATTAGTTGCCAATCAATGTCATTGTTATTTGTTATTCTTAAGCACATTCATACTATTCATTAGTTAGGTTTTTATAGTGGTTCTATTGAAAAAACTTAAAAGTTGTTTAAAAACCTTGAAACTAGGCAATGAATAAGTTCAAATATCTCAGTAGTTTGAAATATGCACTCAGAAAAAAACAGGAAAAGAAGAGACTTCAGAAATGGAAAATAAGGTATGTGGTGGAAAAAGGTGAGTTTAGAAGTTAGAAGTTTGCCATGCCTTAGTGAGAGTCTTTTGAACAGAAATTCCCTGATTATCTAGAAGGGCACTTCATTAGGAATGGCTATGACTTGATTGTTGGACATTAGCCCTTTGTGGCTTTGACTCAGTGTTCCTCAGTCTTCAGATATAGCATTTGGCTTTTAAATTAATCTGTCAGTCAAAGGAGTGATGCAACTTGATTCTCAAGCTAGTTGTTTTTCTTGTTATATGGTTTTATGGGTATATGTCAGTTTCCTCTGATTTGGGTGATTTGAATTATTTCTCTTGAATGTCTGAGTAAAGTGGAAAAAATGAATTATTGGACTCACAGAACTGAAACCTGTGGACCTGGTTGCCATTACCAAGACAATTGTGCAGGTTGTAGTATCTTTTGTTGAGGGAGCAGTGGGTTAGCTGTAGTTACTGACTCTGATCCTACTCTGCCATTCCCACTGCTGCTCAGCTGCCTGCCCCAGTTCAGAATTCATCACAGCACAAGTTTGAGACTGCCACAGCCTCTCTTTCCTACTGCTGCTCAAAACATGGAAGGACTAGCCGGAAAGGGTAAACTCCTCCCTCTGATACCCCAGCCAGTTTTAACTTCAAAGGAAACTTTGGTCCAAAGTTGGGAACATGGAAGCATTTCATTTTAACCTATTTTTTTTTCTTTAAAATCTTAAGGCTGTGGTCAAAATGCAAACTCCTCTATGTACTTGTCTTCTCCTCTAGTCTGCTACTTTGCTCTACTTCCTGGGTTCTCCCCTCCCTGCCTCCTACTTTTGTATAACCCTTTCTGCTATACTTTCTAAAGCTTCATTCCATCGTAAACACTCCTATGAGGCTTAAATTTCTTTAGACGCTGCTTTCTTTTAGTATACTTACCACAGACATGTATAGCTGAATAGAATGAAGGTGCATGTATATGAAGGAGGACTCAAAAAAATTTGGAATTATTTTTTGGAGGGCGGGCACCTTGTAGCACAGGCTTCCTCCACTACATAAGGGTTTTAGGACCCTATCAGCATCAGGTTACCAGCTAATGTTGTTGTGAGAGACTGCATTTGGCTTCAGTGAATTTTTTTCTTGAAGGTTCTTTCAGTGCGTTTGCTCATTTTGTGATGGGTGATGTCACAAGTGCACCTGCCCACACCATGCTGAGTGTTCAGCAGTTTTTGGCCAAAAATGGCATGACCCCTGTGCCCCACCTTCCCTATTCACCCAGTCTTGCCCCAAGCAACTTTTTTTGTCTTCCTGGATAAAAAAAATCCTCACAGGGAAACGTTTTGCCAATGTGGAAGAAGGGAAATAAAAAACGGCAGAAGCACCAAAAGGCATTTAAACTGATGAGTTAAAAAATTGTTTTAAGCAGTGCAAAAAGCATCTTCATAGGTGTATTATATCAAACGGAGAGTGCTTTGAAGGTGACTGAAGTTTAAACATGTAACAGTAAATACACACTTTTTAATAAACATTCTGGGTTTTTTTGGGGGGGGGTTCTTCCCTTGTACTGTTTTCTTGTAACTTTTACAGATTTACTCTGTTGACAACATGAGTTATTACTTAATGAGCACTTACCTTGTTCTAGAGTTATACAGCAAGTAAGCAGTGGAGTTGAGAAATGATTTTTAAAAAAAATTTTTAAAAGTATTTTTAGAGATAGCATCTTACTATGTTGCCTAGGCTATACTTGAACTCCTCTGCTCAGGCGCCCCCTGCCTCAGTCACCTGTGTGGGATTATAGGTGAGAGCCACTGTGCCTGGCTGAGATTTTATATTTCTGTGACACTGATATTCATACTCTTTCCATTACCACATGGGAAAAGAAATACATAAAAAAAAGATAATTGGAAGAAATAGTTATTTAATAGGCTAATAAATACCAGAGTGTCTGGCACATATTTTCCCCCACAATACTTGGTATATCATTAGTATAGTAACATTCTGCTATTTTAAAGATCAGATTTATATATAATAGATTGGGAAGACTAGAATCTCTTTTTGTAATTATTGATTTTTTACATCTTTTTAAAAATTTGATGACCTTTAAAAGCACAGACACAAATGCAGATTTCTTCAGCTCTCTCAGTTGGGCTTCACTCTTGAACTTGTTAGTGTGTACTAGGAAACAGAATAAATAACTGAGAAACACTCTCACTGGTAAACACTTAGCTTTATATAGATATCCAGAGTACTTGTGATGTGGCAGGGTATGGGGTGAAGATGGTAGCTCTTTGTCAAGCGAGAAGAGTTTGGACAGCCATACTTTGGGTCTTTCACCTGTATCCTGGGAATTAATCATATTAACATAGATGTTTTAGATTTGAACTTTAATATATGAATTACTAAAATCTAGGTTATTGTAGTAAGTACAATAAAGCTGATATGTAACAGTACTATAAAATACAGTAGGTTGTTTCTATATCCATAATAGCATAATGGTAAAATATACTAAAATAAAGTTCAGCTGTAATGTAAAATAATGTAAAATAGTAAAGTTCAGCTGTTTGTTGACTCTCTATTGAGTGCCAGAGTAGGAAACACAGTAAGTCATAGGCCCTGTCTTTAAGAAATTCATAGTGTTACAAGGGAAATTATAAACAAATGATTAAAATGACATTAATATTATGAAAAGATAACTTCAGAAGAGTGTCATGCATTCAGCTGACCGTGTTGGGGAGAAGGATTATTGAAAATAA